AGGGGAAAGGCAGGATCGGGGCACCCGCCTGAGCCTGGGCCGACAGAGTCCCCATCAGGGTGGCGCCGAGGCCGACCAGTCAGGATCATTGATCCCTATCCGCCGATTTGGAGACGCCTCGCGACGTGGAACAATCACGACTGGAGGTCTTCACCATGTTTCGCGGGCCCTGGGGCCGTCAGGAACGACCAGGGATGAGAAGCCAGTCCACGGGAAGGCCCAGGCCTTTCGGGAGATAAGTACGTTGCGAAAATATCACAACGTCGGATGTCTGGGGCCGCAGACGTCCGAAGTCTTTCTGCCTGCTGCAAATCCTGCCACCGTGCCAGTCCAGTAGTCTCGGTGAAAGCTGCAATCGATGAGGACGATGATGATACAGCTGACGAAGATATGATCAAGACAAGATGGAGAGGATGAGGTGGATTGTAGCGGACGGTGGCGATGTATAACATAAGGCTGATGATGATTTTGGTGATGACGATGACGACGATGATGATGATGATGATGGTGGTGGTGGTGATGGTGATGTTGATTGCAATGGTGATGATGATCATGAGGATGATGATGATGGGTTCTGGGGCAGGGGATGAGGACGAGGACGAGTATGGTTGTGATAACCATGATTATGTTGCAGATGATGATACAGTTGATGGCGATGATGATATGGTTATGATGATAATGACGATGATGATGACGATAACGATGACGATGATGATGATGCTGATGATGATGGTGGTGGTGATGATGTTGTTGATGATAATCATGATGATGATGAGGATGATGATGATGCTGATTATGATGATGATGATGGTGGTGATGATGACGATGATGCGTATGATGACGATGTTGATGATGATGGTGATGATGATGCTGATGCTGCTGCTGCTGCTGATGATGATGATGATGATGATGATGAGGAGGAGCAGGAGGAGCAGGAGCAGGAGGAGTAGGAGGAGGAGCAGGAGGAGAAGGAAGAAGAAGAAGAAGAGTAAAGCTCTCATGAATCTCATTTGGGCCGCCTTGGAGCTGGTCTGGGTTCCTGCGGGGCAGTCTTGCGGGTCCCTTGGAGCCCTCTTGGCCGTCTTGGGGCCTTCCTGGGCCGCCTTGGGGCCCTCTTCGGCCCACTTGGGCTGTCTTGGCCGTATGGAGGGTGTCTTGGGGCCGTCGTCAGAACATCTTGGCGCTGTCTTGGGCCGTCGAGGGGCCCTCTCAGGCCGTCTTGGCTTCCTCCGGAGGCCCTCTACAGCCAACTCGTGGCTGTCTCTGAGGCCTCTTTGGCCATCATTGGATCTTTTTGAGCCATCTTGGGGCTTTCATGAGGGCCTCTTGAGGCCATCTTGGAGGCTTCTCTGGCCACCTTGACCTCACGGAAGCCCGCGAAGGCGAGAATGCGAACACCTTTCAATTACTCTTGCGGTCGGACCCCTCTGATAATCTTCCACACTGATCTGGAAGGAAGCTTCGTTGACGTCCTTGTGACTACGGAGGCTCCCTTCCTGTCTGGTATCGTCTGGTCCTTCCCGACGCTTGCAAGCTTGATTGAGGATGGCCGCCTCGGATTTTCAAGGACGCTCGGCAAAGGAACGAGGCTCCCGCCCGAGACTTTCTCAAGATTCAGGCTCCCAGGTGTCACTCAACCTTGGTTTTTACAGGGGATCGCCTCGGATGAATTAACATGAAGCGGGGGTCCATGGGGGGGGGCTCCCGCTCGAGACTTCCTCGCGATTCACTTACGGGTGAGCGCACGACACACATAGGAGGGGGGGGGGGGCAGGGACGAAGCTCCCGCTCGAGAGTTCCTCAGGGTTCGGGCTCCCAGGTATCATAACCCTGTGTTCTTCTGTGTATTCCGATGGGCGTCTCGGACTGCCAACATGAGGTGGGGACCTCATGAAATTGAGGCTCCCGCTTGAGACTTCCTCGCGATTCACTGCGAGACGAGTGAGCGCCCAAGACGTCCGTTCAGTTTGCTCAGAAATGAGGCTCCCGCTCGAGGTATGGATTCAGGCTCCGAGGTGTCATGAACCCTATGTTCTTATGGGATGTTCCTAATTATGGCCGCCTCGGATTGCCAAAATGAGGTGGGGACCCCATCCGGGGGGGCGCTCCCGCTCGAGGCTTTCGCTCGAGACTTCCTCAAGATGAGTGTGCTAGTGTGTGAGTAGGTGTGCGCGGTGGTGATGGTGGTGGTGGTGGTGATGATGATGATGCTGATGATGATGATGCCGACGATACTGACGGCGATGGAGCTTAAGCTGGTCATGATGATGATGATGCAGCTGATGATGGTGATCATGATGACGGTCATGACGATGATCATACTGATGTTGATGATTCTTATGATGGTGGTGATGATGGCGATGATGATGATGATGATGATGATGATGATGATGATGATGCTGATGATGATGATGATGATGATGATAGTGATGCTCATGCCGGTTATGAGTATGATGGTGGTAATGGTGATGCTGGTGCAGCTGATGATGTTGATGGTGACGATAATGGTGATCATGATGCATGCATGATGATGCTGGCGCTAAGAATGACGATGTTGCAGATGATGATGATGAAGATGATGATGATGATGATGATCATGCTGGTGCTGATCATAATGATGGTGTTTACGATAGTAATAGTGATGGTAATGAAGATGATGCTGCTGATGATGATGTGGTTGATGACGATGATGATTACGCTGCGTATGATGCTGATGTTGATGCTGGTGATGCTGATGTTGATGCTGATGGTGTACAGGATGATGATGAAGATGATGATGTTGTTGTTGCTGGTGCTAACGACGATGATCATATGATGATGGTGATTGTGATGATGATGATGATGAGGAGGAGGATGAGGAGGAGTGTGATGATACTGATGATGCTGCTGCTGATGATGATGGTGATGATGATCATGATCATGATCATGATTGTGCTCATGCTGCTGCTACTGCTGCTGTTGATGGTTATGATGATGCCGTTGATGCTAATGATGATGATGATGATGATGATGATGACGGTGATGATGCTGATGATGATGATAATAGTAATAATGATGATGATGATGATGATGATGATGATGATGATGATGATGATGATGATGATGATGATGATGATGATGATGATGATGATGATGATGCTGATGATGATGATGATGAGGAGGAGGATGAATATCATCATCATGAGAGGCAAGGAGGGTGATGAGAGAGGCGAGGAGGGTGAGAGAAGGACTGCGCGGGGTGTCCAGAGAAAACAAGAACACCCACTGAGGATACGGGAAAACCAATGGATGATCAATGAATTTGGCTTCCTCGCCCCCAGTTGGGGGTCCTCTTGTGGCCCTCTTGAGCCCTCTTGGAGTCATCCCGGGCCATCTTGAGGCCGTCTTGGGCCGGCTTGGGGCCATCTAGGGACGTCTTCGAGGCATCTTGGGCTATCTTGGCGGCGATGGTTGCCTGCCTGGGCCGTCTTAGAAGCTCGGGACACGGACCAATCGTTTCTTCAAGGGATCGTGGCCACGGGAGCTGTGGGACCGAGGGGCGATGCTTGCAGTGAGGCGCCAATCGCAAAAACCCTACCAGGCAGCCCTCGGTATTCTCCCACGTCTCAATGTTCACAAGGCGCGGTGGCAGATTCTTCCAGTGCGGGGTCCCCGCAAGTCGGGGCCCTTTCCCTTATGCTTTTTTTGTATCCCAAGTTGTTTTCTGACGGACCGTGGGCACGGCGAGGCCTCCCCTGGGGTCCGACAAGTGCAGAACATCTCAGTGGCGAACTTTTCGCGACGTTGGGTTCCGTCGGCGGGCGTGGGCCTGTCTTTTGGCCTGGCCCGGGCAGCCAGAGGACCTCGTGAAAGCACATCCCTGATGCCCTCCTCGCGTCGCGGCAACTCGTGACGGCCGGTTTTGGCAATTGTCCGCCGGGGCCCTCGCTGGGCCCCGGGGCCGTCAAACAACGGCTCTGGATGGAAGGCCGGCCCTGGGGAAAGGGTTGTTTACTTCTGGGGGTCCCGTGTTGACCAAATCAAGACATCGCATGTAGCGTGTCTTTCTTCAGATTCTGGTTAGTGTACTTGCATGGCATAACCCCTCTCTTGCCGCCATTTCGAACAGCGCTGGGCCGAAAAAGCGTGTAAGTATCTCCCAACTTGCGTGCTTCGGGCCCCTTCTTGCAAGTAAAATTGCGATCATCGAAAAAACTGCTTCACGCTGAAAGGAGGACCACTTCGATTCAGGAGGGGCTCCGGTGTGTGGGCCGTTTCGTAGATCTTGGTCGGGGAGCCTAGTTATTTGTCGCCGAGGCTAGGTCCTTATCTTGCATGCCTCGTGGTATTATGATGACTGCAGGAGGCCCTGGAGGTGGGGGGCCTTGCCGCAACGGCCGGGCGCGGCTCTCCAAGACTTTCCAGGGTGCTGGTGCCCGAAAGTCGGTGGATCACTTCTGCTCTGGTCCCGGCCGGAGGGAAGCCCGGACATGCCGTCGAGGCCAGGCCGCAGCCCCAGCGACCCAGACAAAACACATATGCTTTGCTCAGTCGTCCCTTCTGTTTCGTACCGCCGGGCCGCACTTCAGAACAGAGCGACGGCGGCGAATGTCGGGAAAGAGATAGCGCGCTGCCTCTGCTGCGGCACCCTCCTGAGCAACTCGTTCTTCCGCCGCGGGCTCGTGGCTCGAGCCATCAGCCATCAGCCGGGGCAGCCATCTGCCCGCCCGCTTCCGCCGCGCACGTGGTCTGAAAAAGTACATCCGCCCTGGCCCGAGGCAAGTCAGCGTTGGAGCCGGCTGGGGGGCCCGAAGCGGCCCAGCACAAGTTCTGGCACGTAGAAGGGGAGGAGAAGTGCCTCCCCTCGTCGCCACGGCTGGATGCGGCCCGAAAAACTTGTCGGGTTCGACCCAGGGAGGGGGCTTGGGACCGATTGTCTGCGATTTTCCTTCACTCCCCTCCTTGGTCGACTTTCTCCGGGCTTATCCAGCTCGAACCCCCATCCGCCTCCAAAGTCACCGATGATTATGTGCTCGGGTCCCTTCAAGCGCGTGGCCTATGCCGCGATTCTGACCTGCGTGGCCCATGGCGCGAGGGATACGGAGTCCGCGTCGGCCTTTGCGTCTCTGGAGTCCGAGGTGAAGGGATCGGGTAAGACCTCCTCTAGCGCCGTGGTCAACGTCGGAGCCAAGGGTAGGCTCATTATGCCGCACTTGTTGCAGCGCGCGTCGGCGACACGCGGCCCGACTCAGAGCGAGGCGATGGAACCCGCCCTCTCGGGGGAGCCTGGCGAGCGGGTGCAGGAGGGCGGTGTCGAGTTCGAGAGCCCGTCGGCCGGAGACACAGTCGCAGAGGGCACCATCACCGAGCCAGAGTTGTCCGTCCAGGAGCTGCTCGAGGCCACACCCCGCCAGTGCGAGAACGCTAAGGTCAAGGCGCGCGACCGCATGATGACGTCGCTCGGCATTGGGAAGACCGACTACCAGATGCAGTTGAACGGCCTCAGTGCGACATGCAAGAAGGTCACAACCCAGCAGAAGGAGGCCAAGAAGACCATGGATAAGATTGCGAAGCTGTCAGACAAACTCCAAGATGCTGAGGCTGAATATCAAGATCTCTTGATCCGCTTGGACCAAGATCAGAGAGCTATCAAGGAGCAGGGTGAGCTCATCGAGAAGTTGGACGCGGCCGTGGAGAAAGGGAAGGCTCGGCAGTGACTGCAAGCATCGTAGTTGCATGTTCTGATGCGGGCGCAGTAATGCAGGGGCGCACCGTTGCCACCAACGTTCCCCCGCTGTCCTCCCCCGCAACCTTTCTCAGCGGACTTCAGCGGGTGGGCAGTTGCAGCAGGCAGTTGCCCTTTTCCTGCTGGCCACCTCCTGCTGCTACCCGTCCATCGGACCGCCGTCCAACGGTGGGCTTCTATAACGAAGGACGTACTGCCTCATGGGAGGAGGTGCGGGCTGCATGTTGGACCAGCAAGGTGTCTTATCTGCACGCAGCTAGAAAACATACGAATGTCCCCGCCAAACCCCTCCAGCCGCCTGCTTGCGGCGGGCATTCCGTTTCGACCCCATCCCTCAAACCGCTTTCTGATGGCGGATTCCACAGCCTGTAGCATCAGTGCTTCGGTCTCTTCCGCGGGTGCCGTGCCCATCAGACATGAAAGGTTGAAGTGGACCAGGCCGCGAACAGCCAGGGACAGCCAGGAGCGCTCGAACCAGACAAATCCCCAGCGGCCTGGTGCGGCAGGAGCAGCGCACAAACAGGCTGGGAGCACCTGGACCAAGCAGATCCCTTGGCACATGCAGACAGGTGCAGCAGGAGCAGCCTGGAGCAGCTGGCAGCCGAGATCGCCCGAATGAGGGAGGTTCGTGGTGGCAAGGGCCCCCAGAAGCTGAAGATTGCCCCACGCCTTACGTTTTGATGTTTTGTCGCGACGCAGCGGGGGCTGACAGTTTGGGTCTGGGCCCCTGGACTTGTCCCAGGGTGCGTTTTGGCGTGAATCTCGGCGGAGCGCCCCAGAGTTTCAACAGCGGCGAGAAACGGTTCACGAAAGCTTGATCTTTGATCGCAGATTTCTCGGGACCCAGGGGCCCCTCCTGGTACCTCTGCAGGGGTGCGTTTTGACAAGAGTTCCGAAGGGAATCCAAACGCAGAGAAGAGTAGCCTCCCAGAGACCTCAGAAGAGCCAGACGAGCCAGAAGATCCTCCTCCCGCGCATCCTCTGGGGATGATCGCCCCCGCGCCCCCCCCCCCCGAGAGATTCCTCCACGAGGGCCACGCGAGGGCCAGGGCCCGCGAGAGCCAGGTCACCTGCGGGGGCGCAAGGGTCGTCGCGCTCCGCGCGTTCGCGGCCCAGGCTGGACAGCAGGATCCTGCAGGGCCAGGGTCGCACTGGCCCAGGCTTGGGCGCTGGATCCTGCAGGATCTTGCAGGATCCTTCGCGTTGACCCGGGTTTGGGTGCAGGATCGTGCAGGATCTTGCAGGATTCTGCACTGACTGACCCGGGTCTGGACTGACCCGGGTCAGAAGCTCCCCGAAGTATTCGGCCGCCTCGTGCCCGGGCCCCCTCGCGCCCCTTCCTCGACTGCGCGTCTTGGTCGGGTCCCGTGCCCCAGCCGCCCCAGCGGACAGGTTGAGATCGGCTATTGAAAAGAACCCGCCGCGCGCTGGTCTGTCCCCGCCCGCCCGCCCGCCCCACAAGGCCCTGGCGACCAAGCCCCAGGCGTGCGCGCGCACCCGCGTAGGCTCCAACCGCCCCGTCCCGAACGGCCCCGCGGCCAGGCCCAAGGCAAGCCAGCGGATTCCTCGAGGTGAGGAGGAGAGCATTGCTGTCTTGCAGAAGCCACGGCAGACGAACACGTGAGACAGCACCGTATGTCATAAGCACGAACAGGACGAGCCAGAGCGGATCCCTAAATGGCCCGGATATGATGAGAATGGCTGGAGACACCTCAGGCCAGCGACACCTTCTGAGACATCCGATGATGGCATTATTTGCTTCAGTGCGCGGCCCCAGGGAGGTTCCAACCCCTTCCCCGGGGGCAGTTTTCCGTCCCAGATCCGTTTTTGATGGCCCTGGGGCCAGACAACGAGCCCCAATGCCAAAATCTATGAAAAAGCGCTGGGATTGAGTTACATCGAAACGCATGCGCGGGCCGGCCGGTATACGGTTAATCGAATTCAACTTGAAATTCTGCTGTCGGCCTTTCGGTGGAACGTGCCTGTTTCGACCAGATTTGGAGCCCTGTTCTTATTCCCAGGCGATGACGGGCGTTAAATGGGGGGACGGAGGGGGAGGAGGCCACGTCATGATTCGCGCCTGCGCCGTCTGGGAACTCCGCTACGCCCAGCCATTCCCAGACGGCGCCGCCGCGAACCGTGGTATTATCTCATAGGGGGGGAATGAGGGGGGGGAGCGGTCCTCGGGGACGGGCGCTTGTATATGGCGACTCGTGACACGAACGCGCTTCAGCCCCCGAGGAAAAAAAACAAAAAACGACCTCTGGGGGACTGGCTCGCGAGGATGCGCCCGAGGGCGCCGCTGGAGAGCAGCCGCTCGCGCTCCCCGCGGGGGTGGCGGTGCACCTCGTGGCCGACCCGCGGTCGCTGGCCGCGGTCCGGCGCCGCTGCCGAGAGGAGGACGCGGGGATCGGGTGATGCGCAGGGGGGGTGGGGGCGGAGAGCGGGGGGGGGGGGGCGCCGAAGAAAGCGGCACCTCTCGTGCCCTAAATGGGCCCCCGATTGACATGATGGGCTTGTTTTCCACCACCACCACCACCACCATAAGTTGTAGGGGGAAGGGGTCCTCCTCCTCCTCTCCCTCCTCCTCCTCCTCTTCCTCATCCTCCACCTCCTTCCCTCCTCCAACTTATGGTGGTGGTGGTGGTGGTGGAAAACAGGCCCATCATGACAGGGCCCCCTGGGGCCCAAAGGGGGCACGAAAGGTCAGCGTTTCTCCCCCCAGGTTCTTCCCCCCATTGAGCAAAGTCCGAGGGGGCTGCGGGTCGGGAGGGGCAACGTTTCGGGGGGACGGCAGGCTCAGGGTGGGGGGATGCGCAAGGCCATCGCCGACGGTTTCGAGGACCATCAGGGGCATCGTTATGGGGAGACGTTTCGGGCCCCAGGGTCGAGGTTCGAGGTTTTCGTGCGTTGTCACCTGTTCTCGGCGATTTTCTGGCCTCGGGGTGCTTTCCAGCAGGCTGCGCCTCGTCGAGAGCGTTCCAAGGGCGTCCGGATCGCCCCGAACGGCCGCCAGGCTGGGGGTTCCGAGTTATGACCCGAAAACCGGACGACGAGGATCACGGAGGGGATAGGCTCAGGGTGGAATGCATCGATCCTTAATCGCTCATTCATCGCCGATAGGGGCCCGATAGACTACCCCCCACGTGCGGATTCGCAATGGGGGTCAATCGCCGATATATCGGCGATGTATGGCCGATTCCAGTTCGACGTTCCCCCCCTGAGCCAGGCCCCCCCTATCGTTGCCGCTCAAGTCGGGAGGATCGAAGCTCGGGCCCAGACATCCAACGCCTCGGGAAAGCATCTGCGGTTCGAAGTTCAAGCTTCTCGGGCGCTTTCCAGCAGCTGCGCCTCGCCGAGAGCGTTGGGGGTGTGCCGAATCGTCCCGTACAGCCGCCGGAGGCCCGAGTTATGGCTGGACAGCTGGATCTGAACGTCCTCTGGGGGCGCTTGGACCGTCAAGGAACGGCTCGTGATGAAGAGCCGGCCCTGGGGAGAATGGCCAGGACTCCGGGGGGGCCCCTGTTGAACAGATGAGGTGGAGGCTCGTGGGTGGGCGGACCGGCATGCCGCCCGAGCCCGCCGCACCCACGAGATGACGATGTAGCGCATTTTGTTGTGAGTAGTGTGCTCAACCTATGTGTCAGTTACTTCGGGTGTATATTTATAGATATCGAATTGCATGCATATGTGAGTATAGATGTGCCCTCAAGGAGATTGTGTGGTAGGCTCCCGTTCGCACTAACTCCTGTGACATGCGCGTGCGTGATCCCGGGTCCAGGGCTCCTGCGCCCCTCCTTTTTATTTGGCTTCTCTCCTCTCTCTCTCTTTGCTCCCTCGCTCCCTCTCTCTCTCTTTGTTTGTTTCTCTCTCTCTCTCTCTTTTTTTTTTTTTCTCTCTCTCTCTCTCTCTATATATATATACATATCCCTCTTCTCCTCTTCTGTCCTGTTCTTTCTATTCTATTTCCAGGGTCCACTTTCAGATCGGTGACCAGCTCCGGGGCGATGGGAGGGACGACTGCCGAGGTGGCCTCCCGCCCCCCTCCTGAAAACTGTGCGGCGCTGTTGGGGTTTCACCGTGTGCCCTGCTCAAGCTTCACGAGTGAAATGGGCTGCGCGAGATGCCTCCAGAGGTTGTACTAGTTGCTGTCGTAGGGCTGCAGTGGGACCTGTCGTATGGACTGTAGACGAAGCTGCTGCAGGAGTTGTAGTAAAAGCTGTAGTGGCCCGTACTGCTGGCTGCAGTTGGGATTGTCGCAGGAGGGTGAGAGAGAGAGAGGTGTACTGTTGGCTGTGGTGGAACATCCAGTAGGAGCTTCAGGACTAGCTGTAGAAAGAGGTGCTGTAGGAAGTGTAGTGAGAGCCCTGCTACTGGCTGCAGTAGGAATTGTCGTGAGAGCTCCTGTAGCCCTGCAATAGACGCTGTAGCAGGAACTGTATCAACAGAAGGGGCAGGAACTATAGGGATAGTTGTGCGTGTTGTACTGCTGGCTGTTATGTAGGCCGTAGTAGGAGATGTACTGCCAGTTGCATTGAAAGTTGTATTGAACTGCCGACGGAACTGTTGCAGGAGTTGCATGAGGAGCCTTACTACTGGCTGCACTAGGCATTGTTGTTGGAGCTGTAGTGGCTTATGCAGATGGGCTGCAATAGACGCTGTAGCAGGAGCTGTATCAATAGCTGTGGCAGGAGTGTAGTGCGAGCTTTGAGAGTTGTATTACCTGTTGTCACTTGGATTGTCGTAGAAGCTGCAGTGCGAGCTGTATTGGCAGGAATACGAATGGACGTAGTCGGATCCGTAGCACGAGCTGCGCGGAAACCACACACGACGAACAGGGACGGAGGCGGAAGAGAGCAATGAGGACAATGACGACGGTTGATGGGAAGAGGGTGAGGGTGGCGACGAAAGACGAGGATAAGAAGGAATCGCCGAGCACTGTGCAACATGTATGATTCCAGGAATACGGGAGGTCGGGGTGTGAGGGGTTGGCTTGTGGTGGGTGGGGGGGAGCGGGCTACATGGAGGCATCTATACGTGTGTGCGCGTGTGTGTGTATAGAGAGAGAGAGAGAGAGAGACATTTGCACATGGAAACACACAGATGGCCGTTGTACAGTTTGACGGCAACCTCTTCCGTGGTCAGCTCTTTCCCTTACACCGCGTGCGGTGCCTGAGGCCGTCTGCGCTTCCCTCGCCCGCCGATTCTCGGCGGTCGGGCTCTGTCTCTCTTCTCCTGCTGCCTGTGCGCCCCGCGTCCGGCGCGTCCCGCCAGTGCCCGCCATCGCGCCTGCGTCCGCTGGCGCTGCAAAGTGAGAGCGTGGGTGTAGAGAGTTGGTGAGAGAGAGAGAGAGAGAGAGAAAGGGAGAAAGAAGGGAGAGAGTGAGAGGCAGCGAGCGAGAGAAAGAGAAGGAGAGAGAGAGACAGAGAGATAGACAGTGAGAAAGAGAGCGATCCTGATACACTTGTATCTGTATGCGACTGTATGCGTGTGTATTTATGTATAGATACACACATATCTATATACACATCTGTGTACATATTCCTCTTCCTGTATTTTTCCAAGCCTGGCGGGGGGACCCCCCCCCAAAACCGGACTCCCGGGATCTGGGTCTTTGGGACCCTCCGGACGGGCCTCGAAGCGGCCCCCTGGGCCTCGCAGGGCGTTTTGCCAAGCCTTCCCAGCACATATAGGGCGATCATGGGGGTCATCGGAGACGTCCCTGAGACCTCCAAGACAGCCGAAGAGGCCTCCAAGAGGGCCCTATGACGGCCCACGAGCGCCCCAGGACTGTGCTTGAGGCGCCCAATACGGCCCGAGAGGGCCCCAAGACGGCCCCAAGAGAGCCCCAAGAAGGGAAACGCCTTTCCAACAGCAGAGCCTTCCGGCCCAAGAGGACCTGGGAGGCCCCAAGAGGCCTCCAAGAGGGCCGAAGAAGTCCCCACGAGGCTCCCAATAGCACGAAGATGCGCCAAGAGGCTTCGAAGAGGCCGCCCAAGAGAGCTCCACGAGTCAAACACTATTCCATTTGAGTAAGTTGTTTGACAGATTTTCGAACTATCGCTCTTTCGGCTTCCCGACGCTCCAAGACGGCCCAAGAGGCCCCCGAGACTGCTCCAAGATGGCCGAGAAGGTCTCAAAGAGGGCCCCAAGACGGGCCCACGACGGCTCACCACGAGCGCCCCAAGACGGACCCAAGGAGGCCCGAGAGGGGGAACGCAAGCCAGACATGCAGGCCTCCCGCCCCAAGAGGCCCACGGGAGCCCTAAAGAGGCCCCCCAAGTGGTCCAATGAGGCTCCCCAAAGCTTGCCAAGAGGCCCCCCAAAGGCGCCCAGGAGACGCATAAGAGGCCTCAGGATGACCCAACAGTGCCCTCGATGCATCAAAACTGCCTCCAGCAGGCTCCCGAAAGGCTTCCCCGATTGCCTCAATGGGGGGCCCCAGGTGGCCTCAAGTCGGGCCTCGACGCAGCCAGGACGGCCAATGACGGCTTCAGACTGCAGAGAAACACCTTCCGATTGCTGGGAGGACCCCGACGATGCCCCCAAGTGATCCTAAGAAGCCCCAAGACGACCCCCCCAAGAAGCATCCAAGAAGCGCCAAGAACGCTCCAAGGAGACTTGAGGGTGCCTCCAACAGCCGATTGAAGAAGCACGGAGAACCTCTCCAAAGCCCCTCAGATGCCCCCAAGAAGACCCAAGAGGTCTCGGGGAAGCCCTCAGGAGGCACCAACCGGTCCCAAAGAAACTTTCGAGATGCCTCCAACAGGCCATGAAGGCGTCCAACGACGCGATCTAATTGTCTTTAGCCTGAATCCTCGACGATTGCAACGCGATCCAATACTGGGCGTGCGGTGATCGGCTCAAACTTGATCGCGCGCGCACGCACACACGGGAGCAGGCCGTGGAGTGGGCCAGAACCGTGGCCACGGGTCGGCGGGAGAACGAGGCTGGAGAAAGGACAGGAGGGCATTATCATCCAAGCTATGCTGTACGCATGTCTGTATGTATGTATGTATGTATGTATGTATGTATGTATGTATGTATGCATGCATGCATGCATGCATGCATGCATGCATGCATGCATGCATGCATGTAGGTATGTAGGTATGTAGGTATGTAGGTATGTAGGTATGTAGGTATGTAGGTATGTAGGTATGTAGGTATGTAGGTATGTAGGTATGTAGGTATGTATGTATGTATGTATGTATGTATGTATGCATGCATGTGCGTCCGTAATGACGCAAGTAGGTACGAACATATGTATATATCCAGGTGTGTCTGCCCGCATGCATGCATGCGATGCATGCATGCGTGCAGGCATGCATGCGTGTGTATGTTTCTATGTATGTATGTATGCACGCTTGTATGTAGGTAAGGGTGCATATATTGAGTAGGCCTGGGGAGCGAATTCGGACCGGAACCACGGGTTCGCATGGGCAGTCCGGGCAGCCCTTGGCGGCCCCGGAGACTCCTGGACGGCCCCACGGGCAAACCCCGAAGCCGCCAAGATGGCCCCAGATGGCCCCAGGACGGCCGCAGACAGCACAAGATTGCCCCCCAAAGACGCCCCAATCTCGCAACAGCTGCCGCTGCGTGCCCCCAAGAGGATCCAGCCTCCTCGGCGCCCCCACGAGGCCGACGTCTGTCAAACACTTGCGGGAAGCGGTCGTTTTCTGCCCTCTCGCCGTTTCGCCGTCGTTGGGCTCCCGGGGTCCCAAGGCCGACCCCGAGAGGCATCCAGGGGATTCCAAGACGCATCCGGAAATCCGCCGAGAAGCCCTACAGACCCCCAGAGACCCCCGTGGAGGCCCGAAGAGCTCCCAAAATGTTTCCAGGTGCCGGCTCGCCCCAATCCTGGCGCCCTTTCCTCGACCTTTCGTCGAGCTTCGCGGTTCTCAGACAGCCCCGCGACCGCCACTCATCTGGAGGCGTCGAACCCGCACCCTACAAGAGAAAAGGCATGCTCGCACGGGCGACCTCTCCCCCCGCCCCCTAGACTTCACGCAATGTACACGCACAGCGATTTCGGAGTCGATTGGAACTTAAGCGCTCGCGCGCAGCGCGCGCATGGTTCTATGTATATATGTGTGTATATATATACATATATATATATATATGTGTATGCATACACACAAAAAGCGTGTAGAGAGGGCTACATCAACGAAGACATGAGGGCAACACTTTCCCGTGGGAAGCGGAAAGGGGTCTGTGGAGGCAGTGGTCGCCGTTGACGCGGAGTGGCTTCCCGACCGCCACTTGCGGCAGGACGCCTCAGGGGCTAATCGGCAAAGTGGCCGCCATGACTCGCCTCTCGACTTTCTTCTCGGGATGCCCAATCTGTTCTTCCACTGTTACTTCTCTCTCCTCTCTGTCTGCTCCTCGGTCCTCTTTCTGCTTGTTCCTCGGCATGCTTCCCCAAGCAATGCTATGTTTGGGGCATGTGACTTGCGCTGCCTAAGGAATTGGATGGATGTGCCGTGGTTTCGCCGCGCTGCCGCCGGTTGCCGCCCGTGTGCGCCTCGTGGGCGCTTCGTGTGTTGGCTCGGTGTGCCGAGGTATCGCCACGTTGCCGCCCGTGGGCGCCCCGTGGGCGCTTCGTGTGCTGGGTAGGTGCCAGGGTCGCGAAGCTGCCGGCCGTGGGCGCCTCGTGGGCGAAGGCAGTCCTGTGTTCAGAGCCTGCACCACGTAGGCACCACGTAGCTTGCACCACGCACCTTGCACCACATGGCTTGCACCACATAGCTTGCACCACATAGCTTGCACCACCTAGCTTGAATACAGAGCTGACCCCACTAAGCTTACACTACATATATCGCACCACGCCCATTGCACAGCACACATTGCCCCTACACAGATTTTCCATTCTAAAAGAGATATAGACTCTACCCCTCCCCCCCCGGCGTTATCACTCCCCCCGCGTCCTATGTAAATCACATATGATTCTGACCACATGTCCATCCTAAATATGAAATCACAATGTCCCAGGCCAACCGGGTCCCCCCCCTGAGGTTCCCTTGTAAAAAACACTATGCGGTGACATTTTTTTGTTCTAACATAGCACTTTTAAACGAATCCCTTGTAAAAACTGGACGAAGTGCACACACGCGCGCCGTCGCGCGCGCATGCCGAAATCCTCCAAAAACCTTCGGTGTCGGAAGGGTTTCGCAATCGAGTTTCCAACATACATACAACAACGCAGGGTTTCGCAACACTGATTTGCTAAAAAAGCTTACGCGCGAGCTCTTGCGAAATCTTATTTTCACAAAATGCCACCACACGAGCTTCGCGCGCGCATGTCGAAATCTGTCGAACGCCCTTGCGCGTGTGCCGTCGCGAGAATCCTCTGCAAACAACGGGACGACGTGCAGACGCACGCGTCGTCGCGCGCGTATGCCGAAATCCTTCAGAACCCATCGGCTTCGGAAGGATTTCAAAATCGTGTGTCCAAAAAACCTACAAAAACACAAGGTTTCGCAACACGGCTTTTCAACAAAAGCGCAAGCGCGCGCTCTTGCGTCGTCGTCGTCGTCGTCGTTGTCGTCGTCGCCGTCCTCCCTCCGTCGTCGTCGTCGGCGTCGTCGTTCTCTGTCTTTCCTCATCGTCGTCGTCGTCGTCGTCTTGGCGTCGTCGTCGTTTCCGTCGTCGTTGTCGCCGTGGTCGTTGTTTCCCATTCCCTCGACGTCGTCGTCCGTCGTCGGCGTCTCGCCGTCGACCCTCCTGTTTCGTCGACGCCGTCGTCGTCGTCGTCTTCCCTCCTCCCTCGTCGTTGTCGTCGTCGGCGTCGCCGTCCTCCCTCCTTCTTCGTCGTTCGCGTCGTCGCCGTCCTCCCTCCTCCCTCGTCGTTGTCGTCGTTGTCGCCGTCGTCGTCCTCCCTCCTCCCTCGTCGTCGTCGTCGTCTTCGTTGGCGGCGTCGTTGTCGTCGTCGTCGTCGTCGTCGTCGTTGTCTTCGTCGTCGTCGGCGTCGGCGTCGTCGTCGGCGTCGTCGTCGTCGGCGTTGTCATCGTCGTCTTCGTCGGCGTCGTCGTCGTCGGTGTCGTCGTCGTCGTTGTCGTCGTCGAAGTCGTTGGAGACGTCGCCGGTGTCGTCGTAGTCGGTGTCTGCGGCGCCGTCGTCGTCGTTGTCGCTGTCGTCGTCGGCGTCGGTGTCGTGGCCAAGTGCCATGTGGTACCTACCGTCACGGTCTTGTCTTAAGAGGTCTTTCGACCAAGTTGCGGGTGGGAGGGTGGGATGTTTGCACGAGCAGTGGAGGGGACAGCTTCAAGACGGTCAAAGTGAATTGCACCACATAAGATGCACCACATCTTACACATCCACGGTGCATGAACTTACTGTTTGGTGCACGCGCTGACCAACATGTGCGTTTGTCTTGCACATGTTCATTGCTCCCCATATCCGAAGTGGGATTCTTGTGTTCTCTGTGCACCACCATGCAGGAACGAATACCTCACCCTCTCTTCCTCTCTTCCTCTCACATACACCATCACCATCACACCGCCATCCTCGGTACTAATATCATCCCATCGCGTTATTCGGTCACCATCATCACTTCGCCATGCTTTCACCCTCACCACCACCATCATCATGCAACCATCAGCACAGTCAGCATCCCATCATGAACTATCGATCATCAGAGTCATCGGTCATGATGTCGAGCAGGAGCCTCGTCTCTGAGTCTGGTGGAAGTCTCGAGTGGGAGACCCCTCCTCATGGGGCCGCTAGATCAGGTTACGAGTCCGAGCGGATCATCGGGATTCTGCAACTATCGTCAACGTTGAGCTGCTGAGGCCTGTATCTGGAGGAAACTCGAGCGGGAGACTCGTCCTTGCATAAATCTGGAGGTTGAAGTCTCGAGCGAGAACCCCCTCTCTTTGGGGCCGCCAGATTATGTTATGATCCAGGCGGGATATCCCCATCTTGTAATTGTCGTCACTGTTGAGATCTTGAGGCCTGAATATATTGGCCGTCTCGAGCGGGAGCCTCATCTATGAGTGAATATGGAGGAAGGCTCGAGCGTCAGCCCCTCTTCCAAGGGGCCACCAGATCACGTTACTATTCCGAGTGGGTCATCGAGATCCTGCAGCCCTTGTCACGTTTGAGCTCCTCAGCCCCGTATCTTGAGGAAGTCTCGAGCGGGAGCCTCGTCTGTGAGTGAATCTGGAGGAGGCCTCGAGCGGGAGCACCCCCCGTATGGGGCCGCCAGATAACATGGATTCGAGCTGGTCATCCAGATCCTGTAGCTGTCGTCACTTTTGGCTTGTATGTGGACGAAGTCTCGAGCGAGAGCTCCCTCCCCATGGGGCCGCTAATCCGGTCGTACTTTACCTGGAGGTACCGGCTCAGGGTCAGGAGGTCCTATTCGTCGGCGTTCATCGGAGACAGTCTCGTGAGAGGAGCGTTGGGACGCTCCGGCACGTCCCGAGCGTCTGTTTTCCCATCTAGTGCTGTGTTCTCCATCGATCAATCCCTTCACAGTGGCCGCATGAGCACATCTGTCACGGAAGAATTTGACGAGATTGATATGTGGTATCCGGTGGAAGTCCCAGTCGACGATTCAGACGGCTTGGACCAGCAGCAGGTGGACCCGCTCTCGGCTCATCTCGCGCAGGACTCGGAGGAGGGGTGCACATTTTTATCAGTCGCGGCACGGCAGAGGTAATACGCTCGGGCGCTCAAGTTGTTGGGGGCGCTCGGCAAACTAATTGTCCGGCTGCAGGAGGCGGAAAGAGCGGGAAGGAACGGCCGCGGAGGACAACAGAAGGGGGAGGGCGCTCGCCGCGTAAGAATTTCAGGGTGAGCGTGCCGGTGCGGCCAGGTCAGGCCGAAGAGACCTGGCAGTGGACGTGGGACGGCATCACGGCCACACCCAGGCACCGAAGCCAGGGCTGTAGGCGCAGGAAGCGTGAAGATCAAAGTGAACCAGTACGTCAGGGAAACCAGCATGAAGAGGGCCCCAGGCTGCAGGAGCGGGAGCATCCGATTGTTTTCCACTTTGTCGAGAGCGTCAGGTTTTGCTGCAAAGTGTTGGCGCCAGCTGGCTGCGGGACCGCAGTCCACGCGATAGTACGAAGAGCCCGCAAGGTGCTGCGCCAAAGCGCGCGGGCTGCAGCAGAAGGCTGCCAGACCAAACCCCCAGGATGCTGGCGACTGTCGAGGCGGCGCAGCAGGGGCTGGACGTGCAGGCTGGAGGCGGAAGAGTACACATGGGACTTCATGACGACGATGAACGGCGCGGCTGGAATGGTGTCTTTCAGTGTTGAGCCGGTGACCAATTCTGCTTCAATCCCCACGGAGACGGCGGAATCAAATACTCCGACGCCGGGTCCGACGCCGAGTGCAGTCTCTGCGAAGGGGGTTTCACACTTGGCCATCATCTATGGCCAGCGGTTCGACTTCAGGCGACCGGGACAGCACAGACTGGTTTAGATTCCAAAATTCGCCGAGGCAGGCCGCATCCTCTTGGACACCCAGACGGAGGTCCAGAGGCTCGGGGCCGCTTGTGCAGACATGGGCATCCAGTCCATTAGTGTGACGGGCCTGGGGGCCTCTGCGCCCGAGTGTCCCGCTGGCATCCTCTTTGCGGTGAAGAAGTCGGCGAAGAAAAACGTCGGCTGGCAGAAGCTCGGCCCGATTGGATTGAAGGCGGTCTTCGGCCGCACGAGAAGGGCACCGACGATCTGAGCTTCCGGATCCGGAGCTTGTCCAAGGTGGCCCACTCGATCGGTGGCCTCCTTGGGGAAGACGATCACACCGATGCCTCCAGGGTCGACCTCAACTGCCGAAACACGTTCAACTTCCTCATGTGTTCGGAGGTTACTGTCGGTTGGTGACCGTACTCACGTGCCATGCCCCCATGAGTATGGCCGGAGTGAGGGGAGGCAGCGTTCGCAGGCGTAGGGACCTGGGCCCCCCCGGATGTGGAGAGAGCCAGAGGGGAGACTCGCAGGAGGGAGTGGTCCGTAGCGTCTCGGCTCGAGCATGCTTCCCTCGCCAGGGGGCTTGGCGTGCGAGCTCAGTCTTATACATATCTTCAAATATCATTGGGACTGGGGCCTAGGGGGGCCCCCTCCCTGCATGCGATGCCGCCGCCTGGCAGAGGCGGGGGCCGCAGTGTCTCCCGCCGGCCCGCGGCCCGCGCCATGGGGGGCAGGCGGCCAGGCGTCCCCCGGAAGGGCTGCCCCGCCTGTTGGAGTCTCCCCGCGCGGGCGCGGGCTTGCAGGCCGTGGGGTGCCCCCAGGACGGGGTGCCCCCCCGCTGAGGCCTCCCCG